AATCGGATGAACAATATATGTGGAAGCTATAGCTATATCAGAAGCGATCTTCATCAAATTTGACATACTAGCTTCTAGACTCAATTCGGTCGTAAGTACCAAATTTCATCCAATTTGGGCAAATATTAGACGTTTTGTGCACAATAAAAGGTAAATCGGACGAAGTTATATATGGGAGCTATATCCAAATCTGAACCGATCTCGATAAAATTTAGCAAATGTATTTCTGAGCTGTATTTGATATATTTCTTCAAATATTGTTGTTGCAGAGTGCATATTACGGCTGCGGAGGACAAAAATAACAAATCGGATGAACAATATATATGGGAGCTATAGCTATATCTGAACCGATCTCGATAGAATTTGGCATATTTATTTTCAGGTTTAATTTGGTTGTATGTGCAAAATTTCATACTATTCGGGCTGATATTACACGTTTGGTGCACAGTAAAAAGCAAATCGGACGAAGATATATATAGGAGCTATATCTAAATTTTGACCGATTATCTCCAATTTCAATAGGGTTCGTCCTTGGGCCAAACAAATGATTTGTGCAAAATTTCATCTGGATAGGGCAATAAATGCGAACTGTACTTTGTTTACAAAAATACATGGACAGACGGACGGACATGCATAAATCGACTCAGAATGTGATTCCATGCAGATCATCAAGAGGAACTATGGGTTTATCTCGTTTCCTTTTGCCTGTTACAAACAAATGCACAAAAACATAATACCCTGACCACCTTGTGGTGTAGGGTATAACCAGTAAGGACCCCCTCTGTGCTTCGGTAACAAAAAATGTTTATATTGGGAATTTATGTGAAGTGGATCATACTAACTATGAACCCTTTTTGAATAAGTATCATGGCATTAGAATATTCATAATTTGGAAACTATATCCAACTCTGAATCAATTTTCAAAAAATTTGATGGGGGCTTTTGTAACTCTAGAGCCACTAAATGGTAAAATTCGTTTGAATATGAAAAAATCTATTCAATTTGGGCTGATATTATATATATGGTGAACAAAATGCAATGAATAGGTTTATCGAAGCTATATAAAAATCTGAAATGGTTTCGATAAAATTTGGCAGAGGTGTTTTCGATTTGTATCTGATGTCCGGTATAAAATTTCTTTTTTGTGGAGTGCATATTACGCATGTGAAGGACTTTAAATAAAATAGGATGGGAGCTATAGCTATTTTCACCAAAATTCGAAGCATTTGTTACCGGGCTAAATTCCTACAAAAGTGCTAAAATTCAGTCCATTCGGGCTGATATAAGCCATTTGGTGCACAAACAAACATATGGACATATATGGAAGCTATATCCTAATCTGATCCGATCTCGATAAAATTAGACAGAGGTATTTTCAACTTTATTAGTTATCTGGTATCAAATAAAATTCTTGTGGAGTGCATACAATGCATGTGAGGGACTTAAAATCCCAAAAGGGATGAAACAAATATACAGGGTGAGATAAAAAAAAAAAAAAAAAAAAAACTGTAACAAAGTCCAACGCCATAATTTTTATTTATTTTTTTATTTTTATTAAATTAAAGCAAAAAATGTCGGAAATAGCATCAACTTTAGGAAAAAGTTTAGATTTTTTCGAATTGGTCGCCTTTGTCACGAATTATGGCCTTCAAGCGACCAATAAAAACGTCACACGCTGCCCGAATGTTGCTCTGCGCTATTTTGGCCCATTTCTGGCGAAGCTCTTGCTTGAGGTGATCGACACTTTGGTATTTTTTAGTGCCAACCTTGCTTTCCAAAATACTCCAGACACAATAGTCCAACGGATTGATATCCGGAAATATTGGTGCGCTGGAAATGAAGCGAGGAACCTCATTTTGTAACCATTCTTGGATGACGCGTGCTGAGTGCGATGGTGCTGTGTCCTGTTGGAATGTCTAAGGTCTGCGGCCAAAATGTTTGTGTCTCCAAGGCTTTAATACACCCTCCAGAATATTTTCGCTATAATATTCGGTATTTATTCCGATGCCACGGTCGATTAATACGAGCGGGGACGACCTTCAGCTATTATGGCGGCCCACACCATCACCATGGCCGGCGTTTGAGTTCTGTTTGCCGACCGAAGTTGCATATTTTCAGCTGACCTCTTTGGAAAGTAAAGACGATCATTTTGTTTGTTTACAAACTGCTGGACAACGAATGTTTTCTCATCGGAGAAAATCAGTTTAGTTCCCCACTTTCGGCCAAGCGAAGCAACACTTTAGCTCTCTTGAGTCTATTTTCTTTCTGTTGCGGTGCAAGTTCTTGCACTTTTTGGAACTTTTTGGACGAGACACAAAGATTTATTCACATTTAAATGCTGGAGTGCTCTAACGATAGCCACATATGGTTTTCCAGCCAAATATAAAGAAATCACATTATCACGTTTGAATTCCATTACCAATAACTTTGTTTCTGGAAAATTCTCACCAAAATGCTTTTTTACGCATGTAAACAATATAATGAGCTGTCACTGGAATAATTTTAACAGCTGTCGCACGAGTGGCTTAGAATGACAGCAGTCTGAAGTTCGTTGCAGTTTTTTCATCTCACCCTGTATATATGGGAGCTTCTGAGCTGAATTCCGTCGGAAGTGCCAAAATTCAGTCTATTTGGGCTGATTTGAATTACAAAAAACTTGAAATCGAATAAAGATACATATGGGAGCTATATCAAAATCTGAACCGATCTAGACAACATTTTAGGCACTTATTTTCTAAGTCCGAACCGATTTTCACCAAATTTTAAGTACTGTCTTCTACTTTCTGAATTAGGTTGGATGTACTAAAATTCAGGTCATATGAACTTATATTGGCCTTTTGGTGCCAAATAACCGAAATCGGTTGAAGATATATTTATGGGAGATATATCTAAATTTGAACCGATTCTCACCAATTTCAGTAGGGTTCGGTTCCTTGGCGAAACAAATGTTTTTTTTTTTTTTTTTGGAAAATTTCATCTCAATTGGATACTAAATGCAACCTGCATTTTGTTCACAAAAATACATGGACAGATAGACGGAGACTGACTTGCATAAATCGAGTAAAAGTAATTCTTCGAGGATTTTCAAAAGTAACTATGGATCTATTTCGCTTCCTTCTACATGTTACAATCAAATGCTCAAAGATATAATAACCTTACCACTGTGTGGTGTAGGGTATAGGAATAATGTAACCGAAACCTGGTTTTGTTTAAAACAATGAAAAAAAGCTGACAGTTCGGCCGGGTCGAACTTTGAATAACCTCCACCATTTGCCATAAATTTGGTAATTCTCAAAAACAATCTTAAATGCCGTCTATATGACGACATGGGCTGCAATATTCAAATGCGAAACTTAAAAAAACCGGTAACAATGTAGCTAAAATCATCTAAATGCCGAGTATCGGGAGGTATCGCTATATGGGGGCTATACGAAGACGTGGACCGGCACAGACAATTTTCTGTCTTTTGGCTGTAGTATCCATTACGAACTATAAATACCAAATTTGAAACAATTCCGGTAAATAATGTCGCTAAAATCATCAAAATACCGAATATCGGGAGGTACCGTTATATGGAGGCTATACGAAGACGTGGACCGGCACAGACAATTTTCTGTCTTAGGCTGTAATATCCATTACGAACTATAAATACCAAATTTGAAACAATTCCATTGAATAATGTCGCTAAAATCATCAAAATGCCGAATATCGGGAGGTACTGTTATATGGGGGCTATACCAAAACGTGCATTGCCCATTTTCAATACCAAAAGTCCTGCAGACATAACGTACATTTGAGTAAAATTTTATCAATCTACTGATATCCACAGACGTCTGAACGGGCAGACGGACGGACATTGTTAAATCGACATAGAATTTTGTGCTGATCAAGAATAAATATACTTTGTGGGGTCTAAAATATATACTTCGAGGTGTAACAAACGGAATGCCGAACTTAATATACCCTCCATACTATGGTGGAGGGTATAAAAACGGGTTATTTGGACAACTTGTTTCCAATACTGCCTCTCACATTATGTAATTTCTCCTTATATCACTTGATACGACGTGAAGTTCTGCCACGCTTCTGAAGTGGAGTGGAAAATAAGAATTACTATTCCAAAATTATCCCATTATATATGCTTCATTTATGGGCTATTAATAATTATTTCCTGGAACTTCACAATTAACGACACAATTGTTGCACCCTCTAAGTTATGGGGGATACAAAAAGGCAACAAAATGTGATAATTTTGATAAAACACAATCTTGGATCTAATGAATATATTTTTTTATACCTAATAATATTTTATTTGTCCATTTAAAAAAACATTTCACTTGTTGTTCACTATTAAACTAAGCCTACCATGGGGCGTATAATTTACCTCAACAATAATACGCCTCTAGATAACTCAATTAAAATTCTAATAAACATTTTCATATTCCAGTCACTTTTCTATGAATTGACTAATTTCACGGCAAGTAAATATGAAAACTGAATTATGTAAATTTTCGAATAACTGGAATAAATTTAAATGGCACTGAAGTGGAAGTGTAAGTTAGATTGAATGAAATTTTGTGATTATCTGACAATAATAAACAAAGCAAAGCAAAACAAACAGGGCAGCACAAAACAAGTAAACAATCTCAATTAGATTCATTACTTGACAACCAAACAAATATCTGCCATCTATCAGGCCATTTATTCTCTCATCCGGGGAGAGGAAAATTTCCAAGGAAATATTTGTCTTGGATTGTTTTAAATACAAAAATAAATTTGAGATATTTTTTTAATACCCAAAAAAAAAAAAAATAATACTTTTCTTAAGGTCCATCTACCATAAAAAATTAATATTATTATAGAATATTAAGAATGAAAGTCTTAAACTTTTCCACAACACTGAACACACAAAAAAAAAAAACGAAAAGAATAAAAACTGGAAAAGTTTTACTCTCCTTGGCCATGGAAACCCCATAACAAAGGAAGAAAAAAAAACTTACCTCATTGAAAATATTGTAGGCCCAACAAAGTGAAACCGGATGCAGTGGTTTATAGTGGTTGCCAAACGAATACATATACCATAGACCAGGAGCCGGAAATATTACCGTTAACATATCACAAATGGCCATACCTGAAAGAAACAGTAAAAAAACAAAAAGGAGAAAAGAATAAAAAATTAAGACGATAAAGGACACATTTAAAGGAAATTGTTAACCATTTTTTTTTATAGGAATTGTCAATATTATTTGCACCAAACCAAGCAATATTCATCCATACATATATTCTTCATCTACTTCTCCCTATTCTTCCTCTCTTTGCCACATTCATCGAAGTTGCCAAGGGAAAATGTTCTTTAATTAATTAATATTCTTGGGTTGCAATACCATGCCGAGGACAACGGCAAAAGTTTTAATTAACTTGGGACATTACTCAATATTGGATATGGAATGGAAAAATAAAGAAATATAAAAAAGAGAATGAAAAGGACGATGCTATATTCGGACGAGACGAGCTGTGTATCCAGCACTATGGAAAATATTAAATTATAGTCAAATTATCCTGAGATACTTAAGAGATGGTATTCTAATGGATATGGATCTATCTCGCTTCCTTCTCCAATCAAATGCTCAAAGACATAATAACTTTACCACTATGTGGTGTAGGGTATAGGAATAATGTAACCGAAACCTGGTTTTGTTTAAAACAATGAAAAAAGTTGTAAGTTCGGCCGGGCCGAACTTTGAATACCCTCCACCATTTGGAACGAAGTTGTCAATTCTCAAAAACAATCTTGAATTCCGAATATATTAGGGTCTATACGACGACATTGACTGCATAGGTAACAATTGTCATGAGCCACTACAATATTCAAGTGCGAAACTTAATAAAATCGTATTGAGCATCCGGTCGTAAAAGTATCTTCGATTGAAAAATGCAGCAATAATTTTTAAAACACGCAAATTGGTGTGTGGTTGAGAATATCAGAATGGAACTACTACTGAAAATTTTTTAGAATTTTCCATTTTACGAGAATGGGGTACGAAATTATAAAGATAATTCCCAAAAACAGATATCTTGTTATCTATATACATAACTGACCAAAACCAATGCCGAGAAGAAACGGTTGAAGTCAGAATCTTGAAAATTTTCACGAGAATCAGTCACGGTGTGTAGGATGTCAAATAGCTGGGATTCTAGAAATTCGTGAGTGAAAGTACAAAAATTTACTAAAAATTTAATACTTTTGTGTTGGACAAATGGAAGCTAGAATTCCTAGAATTTGGAATAAGAGTCAATGATGGAGTGCATAAATGTACCAAAGGTTTTTTTTTTTTTTTTTTTTTTTTTTGGAAATTCGAACTTTAAGATTACCAAAAGTTCTAAAATGATCAAACTTGGCATAATATGAACGGATAGAATTAAAAATTAAAAAAAGTACAGTAAAGAAAGACCGAAGTCGGGTTGGGCTGGACTTTATGATACCCTACACAACTTTTCATATATAGTAGAGCTTGGCATTTCTATGCTATATTTGTTATTTGGCACGAAATATCGTTGTTGTGGAGAGTATTTTTAGGGTGTGAAGGTGTAAAATACAAACTCAGAAGAAACATATATATTGGACATATAGCTATTTCTTAACCGATTTTCATGAAATTTCATATACTTTCTTCCTGGCAAAATTCGTTAGTTTGTGCCAAAATCCATTTAATTCTGGTTTTAATAAACATTTGGTGACAAATAAACTTGAAATCGAGCAAAGATTTATATGGGAGATCTATCCAAATTTGAGCCGATCTCGATAAAATTTTACTAAATAATTTCTTAGATGTATTCAATTCATTTCTCCGAGTATCGTTGTTATAGAGTGTACATTATGGCTGCGGAGGAGAAATTTAATATGTTATACAGGGTAAGATGAAAAAACTGCAACCAAATTCAGACTGTTGTTATTTCCAAGCCACTCGCCCGACATCTGTTAAAATTATTCCAGTGACAGCTTATTATATTATTTACAATCGTACAAAAGCATTTTGGTGAGAATTTTCCAGCAAAAAAGTTATTCGTGATGGAATTCAAGCGTGATAGTGTGATTTCTCTATATTTGGCTGGAAAACCACAAGTGGCTATCGTTAGAGCACTCCAGCATTTAAATGTGAATAAATTTGTTGGGTCTCGTACCATCGCACGTTATCGTGAGACTGGTAGCGTAGCCCGACGACAAGGAATTTGACGGAAAAAACCACAACATCAGCATAAATGGTTAGAAAAGAAAAGAAGCGACTTGATCGAAACCCGCGTCGTGGTGGCCGAAAAATGGCTCGTGAGCTGAACATATCGCAATATTCCATTCGGCAAATATTGAAAAATGAGCTCGGGATTAAGCCATTGAGTTGCTTCGCTTGGCCGAAAGTGGTGAAATGTCGAATTTGGTTTCTTCCGATGAGAAAACATTTGTTGTCTAGCAGTTTGTAAACAAACAAAATTATCGTGTCTACTTGTCAAAGAGGTCAGCTGAAAATTGGCACCTTCGGTTGGCCACCAGAATTCAAGCGTCGGGAAATAGGCCAAAATATCGCAGAGCAACATTTGGGCAGCGTGTGACGGTTTCATTGGGCGTTTGAAGGTCATAATTCGTACCAAAGGTGAGCAATTCGAACAAATCTAAACTTAATTTAAAATTTGATGGTATTTCCTACATTTTTTCTATTTTGATTTGAAATCATAATATATTTAATACAATCGAACATTGGTTCGGGGTATACATCTGTCGACAAAAACGATTGATACTTTTTAACTAGCTTTTTGTTAAATTTCGACCTTTGGTGGGGGTGATACCAGAAGGAGAGGACCGATATTGCCCATCTCCGGAGTCGATCTAAATTTTATAATAATATTACGATGTACCAAGTTTGGACCAAATCGGATACTTCCTGCGAGTGTAATCGTGCGCACCAGCCAGACAGACGGATATGCTGACAGACAGACGGACATCCCTAGATCGACTCCAAATGCCCTGAAACGGAGCTAGGCTCTAAAACCGTCATTTCGATGAGGCAGGTTTTAGATTCAGCCATATGGCTGAGGGTATATTAACCCAAATAGCGAAACCCATGCTATGAATTTATTTGGTAGGACAATGTGGGAGAAACCTTCAAAATATGGAACACCGACGAATATTTGGAGGTGTTGAGGGTATAAAAATCATTTTGTATATGTGCCCAAAAAAATGGGGCAAATATCGTCATTGTCGAACATGTCCCAGATTTGTCACACATATTACAATATGAGAAGTTTGAACTGCATCGATGTCTTACCTATTAAGATTCCTTATAATCATACCCTATATCACTAGTGGTAAGGGTATTATGTTTTTGTGCATTTGTTTGTAACATGGAGAAGAAAACGAGATAGACCCATAGTTCCTTTTGGTGATCAGCATAGATTTACATTTTGAGTCGATTTATGCATGTTCGTCCATCCGTCCATGTATTTTTGTAAACAAAATGAAGGTCGCATTTATTATTCGATTAAGATGAAATTTTTTAAATAACATTTGTTTGGCTCAGGGACGAACCCTATTGAAATTGGTGAAAATCGGCCCAAATTTAGATATAGCTCCCATATATATCTTCATCCGATTTTAGGTTTCTAATATCAGTCCAAATGGTATGAATTTTGCTACATCTGTCCGAATTCAGACTACAAGCATGTACTTCAAATTTGGTGAACATCGGTTGAGATATAGCTATAGCTCCCATATATATCTTCATCCGATATTAGGTTTCTTCTGCACCAAATGGCGAATATCAGTCCAAATGGTGTGAATTTTGCTACATCTGTCCGAATTCAGCCTACCAGCATATGCTTTAAATTTGGTGAAAATCGGTTCGGATATAGCTATAGCTCCCATATATTTGTTCCATTCCAAATTTTTTATTCCCTCACATTCGTAATATGCACTCCACGAGACTGATATTTTGATTTTTTTAGATTTCTTGTGGCTAATAACGGTCCAAATGGTGTAAATTTTGGCACTTCAGACCGAATTTAGTATAGAAATAAGTACTTCAAATTTGGTGCACGATACAGGAATAATATTTGGTACCAGATATCAAATGCAGCCAATATATAGCTGTTTTCAATTTTATGAAGATCGGCTCAGATTACATGGATATAGCCTCCATACATATCATTATTCGATTTCAAGTTTATTGTGCACCAAATAGCTAACATTAGCCCAAATGGAGTGAATTTTCGAAATTCAACCGATTGCTCCCATACAGGGTTGTCCATATTCGACGGACCCATCTGGCAACGTCATAACTTTGACAGAGATGTCACATCGCTTAATGACATACCGCGTTTGAAGCGTCAGTCCAAGCAGATTTTTACCATGAACCAATACACGGCACGCGAGCGCTCTGAAATAGTTGAAATTTACATTCAACAGAAGAAGTCAATTGTGAAAACTCAACGTGCTTTTAAAACATTAAAAAATGTGAGAAGTGCGCCTTCTAAAAACACCATTAAGCGTTTATACGAACATTTTTCGACTGGTAAGGCTCTTTCTAATCCGAAGAGGCCATATAAAAGTCGACCAAGGCGACCGGCAGAGAATATCGCTGCCGTACGAGCCAGTGTTGAGAGGTCCCAAAGAACATCCCAAAAACGCCGTTCTCAGCAGTTGGGCATGGCTCGGTCCAATTTACAACGGATTATTCGCATTGATTTGCATTTGTTCCCGTACAAAATTCAATTGACGCAAAGAATGTTGCCTGCGGACAAGCCTCGTCGATTGGAATGGGCCCAAAGAGTCATCGAAATGGCCGAAGATGACGAGCAATTTTGGTACAAAATTATCATGTCCGATGAAGCCCATTTCACATTGAATGGGACCGCATATAAGTAAACTTGCCGTTTTTACGCCACTGAAAATACACACTAGATTCAAGAAGTGCCTCTTCATGACGAAAAAGTCACAGTTTGTTGCGGCGTTAATGCGAAAACGGTCATTGGGCCGTTTTTCTTCCAAAATGATAATGACCATGCTGTTACCATCAATCAGGAGCGTTATCGCGACATGATGACCAATTTTGTAATGCCAATTATTCGTCGAAAGCGTATGAG